ACTCTGGCCTCTTCCTGTGATTTCTCAGCCTGTTAATTTCCCTGTTTCTGGCTACTCTGTTCTATTCTTGCTGCTAAATTGCCCAGGGACCAGAGCATGAGAGAATGTTTGAGTAAGGGGAGTAGGAAATTGCCGGGGGGTGTTTCCCTCATTCTCTGATCTACGGGAGTTTTTTGCTCTTTGGGACTGAGCTAGAGGGTTTCTCTAGGCTCTCTGTTTGCAGCATGGGGCTCACTTGCAAGCTTCAGAATGAATTGAGTTCAGACCAGGATCTCCCATGAAATAAAATGGAGAATTTGGGGCTGGAACGATAGTACAGTGGGTAGGGCGTTTGCCTTGCACACGGCCGACCTGGAATCCCATATAGTCCCCCAAGCACAGACAGGAGTAATTCCTAAGTGCAAAGCCAGGAATAACCCCTGTGCATCACTTGTTGTGAGCCAAAAAGCAAATAAAAAGGAGAATTCACAACCAGAGATAGTAAACTGTTGCCACCAGTTGCTTAGTTGTGCTTAATGAAAGAAAATGAGATTTGAGACAGAGGTAGTACTTTTGTTTGTTTGTTGGCCACATTTCATTGATGCTCAGGGGTTCCACCTGGCTCTGTGCACAGAAATTACTCCTGGTGGTTCTGGGAGACCATATGGGATGCCAGGAATCAAACACAGACCGGCATTGTGAAAAGCAAGTGCCCTACTTGCTCCAGCTCCAGAGGCAGTACTTCTTATCTGGAGCATTGCCTTGTGATATATTGTCAATTTGCTCTTTACACAAGGTAGTGTCCTTAATATATAAAAATAATATATATCATACATCACATATCTAATTAATATATATTATATATTGTATGGCTGGAGAGATAGCACAGTGGTAGGGCTTTTGCCTTGTGTGTAGCCAGCCCGGCTGAGCCAGGTTTGATTCCTCTGCCCCTCTCCAAGAGCCCGGCAAGCTACGGAGAGTATCTTGCCCGCACTACAAAGCCTGGCAAGCTACCCGTGACGTATTCCATATGCCAAACACAGTAACAACAAGTCTCAAAATGGAGACGTTACTGGACCTGCTCGAGCAAATCGATGAACAACGGGAGGGCATCATTCACATCATTCACATATATCATATATTATATGTGATATATTATTACATTAGAATATGTGTTGTAAATGACCTCCATTACCTCCACTACCTCCACTACGCAGCCGCCGACACAATCCAGGATGCTTTCCAGACACTCAGGCCAAGATTCATGCACAAGTGAAGCCCCACAGAGCGAGGGAAGCAGAACTCTGTGATCTCGGTCTCCAGGCTCAATAGACCTGGGAACAGAGATCCTCTTCCTACTCCCAGCAACCTGGAAGACCTCGATTACCTCCACTACCTCCACTACCCAGCCACCAAGACACTCCAGGACGCTTTCAGGACACTCAGGCCAAGACTCACACACGAGTGAAGCCCCACAGAGCAAGGAAAGCGAAACTCTGTGACCTTGGACTCCAGGCTCAATGGACCTGGGAACAGAGATCCTCTGCCTGCTCCCAGCAGCCCAGCAGACCTCCATTGCCTCCACTACCTCGACTACCCAGCCACCAACACGCTCCAGGACGTTTTCCAGACTGTGTAGCTTTGTTGCGGCTACACATCATAAAACACTTAATACAAGATCACTGCACCATATTTGATTGTGTTGAAATATGGTTTGAACCATGGGAACACCTGCAAAGGACGATTAGAGGCCACCCTAAAAGCCTCTACCCCTCTCGGAGAGCCTGGAAAGCTACTGAGAGTGTTCCGCCCACACGGCAGAGCCTGGAAAGCTATCCGTGGTGTATTTGATATGCCAAAACCACTAAATACAATGGGACTCATTCCCCTGACCCTGAAAGAGCTGCCAATATGGCAGCGTTAAGAAGGATGAGGAAGGAGAATCTCAGGGTCGAACTAGGCTGCCAAAACGAAGAAGGACAAAAATGACTGTTTGTAATTTCAATGCACATAGACTGGCATCAAATGCCTCCATCGAGGATCTGATGGTGCAAGCGCGAAAGATCAAGTACAGCATCATTGGTCTGACCGAAACAAGAAGGCATCAATCACATCACACCATTTTCGACATGGGGGAAGAACAGTTCCTCAGAACATGCGACAAAAGAGGCGTCGCTGGTGTCAGTGTCCTTGTCAATACGAACTTGGCCATAAACATTGATTCATTCGAATGCCTAACAAACTGAATCAGACGATTACATTTGAATAGATGTGGCTCACTGCCGGCAGTTTCTGTCTTCGTTGTCTACACACCAACATCCAATTATAATGAAGGAGAAATTGAGAAGTTCTACATGGAGCTAGAGAAGTTCTATAAAGAAGACCACACCACACCTTCTACAAGATCATTGTCAGTGATTTTAATGCCAAGATAGGACCGAGAGATCAGTCGAAGAACTCCACATTGGGACACATGGCCTAGAATGGAACAAACAGGGTGAGAGATTATCCGAGTTCATCATGTCGAGCAAGACCATCCATGGTAATTCACAATTCCAGAAAGCTGAATCTAAATGTTGGACATGGGAGTCTCCCGGTGGACGGTTCCATAACGAAATTGACCACTTCATATTCAATTGACGGTTTTGCCTGACCTATGTCGCTGTTGTCCAAAAATTCCAAACGGGATAAGACCACCCTCTCCTTCGTGCAAAATTCTACTTCACAGAGCGGGAATAAAGGGCTGCAAAGTTTAAAAAGAGAACTCCCAGAATGACCACCAACTGGGAGCTCTTTGGCACTATTGCGGCAACATGGGAAGATGCCGTCATTGACAACATTGACGAGGAATATGATCGACTGGTTCAGCACCTCCATGATTGTGTGAAGAACGCCAAGAGAGAGAGAGATACCCACAAAACGATACCTGTCTTCGAAAACTCTCAAGCTCATTCGCCATCGTGGCTTGGCGCAAGCCTCAGGCAACCTCAAGTGAATGTCTGAGAGAAGCGATCAAGGAAGACCTCAAAGAGAAAAGAGCAGCAGTGCTGGCAGATGTGGCAAAAGCTGGGAAAAGCATTCGTAATGCCCACCTGTCCTTCACCAACTACAAGGCCAAGATAACTGCCCTCCAACATCCTGATGGATCTATCACATCTTCCAGAAGGGCAATGGAGAAGATTACCATGACTTCTACTTAGATCTCTTCGATAGCCTCATCCACCTGCCCACATACCAAATTCCGCAGGATGGATATGTCGTTCCCAACGTTCTCCCTTCCGAAATCCGACACGCCATTTCATTGGCAAAGAAGCGAACAGCACCCGGCCCAGAAAAGGTCAGACATGAACACCTGAAGAACCTGCCGTCAGTACTCATCAATACATTGGCTCGGCTCTTCACACGCTACCTGTCTGAATTCAAGATTCTGTCCCAATGGAAAACCAGCAAGACTGTACTACTGTACAAGAAGGGAGACATCCACGACATTGGCAACTATCACCTGATCTGCCTGTTGTCTGTAATCTACAAGCTGTTCACTTGACATCCTGAATAGGATTGGCAGAACACTAGATGAAAGAAAACCATGCGAGCAAGCCAGCTTCCAAAAAGGATTTAGCACAATTGACCATATCCACACAATAACCAAGCTCATTGAGGTTTCTTGGGAGTTCAAGATGCTGCTCAGTCTAACGTTCATTGATTTAAAGAAGGCCTTTGATTCTGTTGAGACTGAAGCGGTCATCGAGGCCCTAGCCAAACAGGGCATTCAAAGTCAATACATCAGGATCCTCCGTGAGCTGTATTGCGAATTCACTACCAGGATCTCACCATTCTACAGGGAGGTGATCATTGACGTCAAGAGAGGGGTTCGGCAGGGTGATACCATTTCACCAAAACTCTTCAGTGCCACCCTCGAGAACGTCATGCGACAACTGGAATGGGAAGGAATGGGAGTCAAGTTAGATGGTTGGCAACTACACCATCTCCGCTTCGCTGATGACATCATACTTATAACACCAAACATCAACCAAGCAGCACAATACTGGCTGACTTCAACCATGAGTGTGGAAAGGTTGGACTACAGCTGAATCTCATAAAGACAATGTTTATGAGAAACGGTCTCGTTCCTGACATTCCATTCACTCTCAACGGGATGAACATCTCTGAATGCACCAGTTATGTGTACCTAGGTCGAGAAGTCAACATGATGAATGATCTGGCACCTGAATTGCACAGGAGGAAGAGAGCGGCTTGGAATGCCTTCAAGAGCGTCGAAGAAATAGCTAAGAGGACAAAGAACCTCTGGCTCCGGGCACATCTCTTCAATTCCACTGTTCTTCCTGCATTAACATACACCTCAGAGACCTGGGCCCTATGAAAACAGGATGAGAAAGCTATTCGGTTCTCCCAAAGAGGAATCGAAAGAGCTATGCTTGGAGTATCACGCTTCACTCAAATGAGAGAAAGAATCCAGAGTTCCAACCTCCATTGGTGGTCAAGAATCGGGGATGCTGTCTCGTTCGCCAAGGCGTTGAAAATCAGATGGGCTGGACACATAATGAGATTTGGAGACGACCACTGGACTAGAGCCATTACCAACTGGATTCCACGGGATGTCAAAAGATCGCGTGGCCGCCCACGTATGAGATGGTCAGACTTCTTCGTCAAGACCGTGAAAGATCTGTTTGAGGCTGTTCGTGTTCCTGGAGCGAGCAGACACCATTGGGCTACATTAGCACGCAACAGAGATGAATGGAGACGTTACTGGTGCCCGCTCAAGCAAATCGATGAGTAACGGGATATCAAGTGATTAAGTGATCAAGTTGTAAACGTTAAATATAAAATTTATATATTATATAATGTATATGTATATACTCTATATACATATATATGACACAGATTGGGACTCTATTCGATTGAATCCCTAGAATGGACCCTCCACACACATAAGCAAAGATGGTGTAACTCATCAGGTAAAAGATTCTGTGTCACTGAGTTCAGTGTTTTTTGGTTTATAGGCACCATGGCTGAGGAAACGGCCCCTGCAGTTCTGGAACGTCACCAAGGATCTCTGTATTCCCTCTTTCCTGACCATCATGTAGAAAAATACTTTGACCAGGTGGATATCTCCAATGGCTTGGACTGGTCTCTAGACCACAAGAACTTCTACTACATCGATAGCCTGTCCTACTCTGTGGATGTCTTTGACTATGACCTGCAGACTGGAAAGATCAGTATGTACTTTTTCTCATTCTTTTAAAAATACTACTGGTTGTGGCTGGAGAGACAGTACAGCAAGTAAGACATTTGCCTTGCACATGGCTGACCTGAATTCAATCCCATATGGTCCCCTGAGCCCTTCCAAGAGTAATCCCTGAGTGTCAGGAGCAAGTCCTGAGCACAACCATGTGTGGCCCCAAAAACAAGAAACAAAAAAAGAAAACAGAATGAAATGAAAATTTCATAATAGCCAAAATCATTTTTATAAAGTTGTTGCTGATTGTTCGACTCAGTTTACTCTAAATGAGTCATAGTTGGAAAGTGGCTGGGAAGGAATGATTGGCAAGAATTTAGAAGGAAGTACTTGAGATTTCTCAGGAAAGGTGTCAAACCACAAGACCAGAAACTGGAGCAATAATCGCTTGCTTGTAAGTGGTCGACCCTGGTGCAATCCTGGCACCACATATGGTCCCCCAATCCCTGGCAGGAGTGATCCCTGAGTGAGGAGCCAGGAGTCTCTTTTTTCCCTCCCCTCCTCTGAAAGTTTACAGGGTCATGTCTATCCAAACTATCCCAAGTCATGAGATAGTAATCCTTTGTGGAGGGAAGCCCATTCATGTGTCTTGAAGGAGTTAGGAAGCGTTAGAAGCATTTCATGTCTGGTGCCTATAGCCTGGTCTCTGAATAAGCCCAAATAATCCGTATTTATAATCAGGTATTTTTGTTTTGCTTTGTTATGTGGCCACACCCAGTCAAGGGTCATTACTGCTTCTGCATTCAGGAATCACTCCTGGCAGTGATCAGGTGACCATAGAGGATGCTGGGGATCAAACCCAGGTCAGGTCGGCTGCATGCAAGGCAAGCACCTTACCTGCTGTACTATCTCTCTGGCCCCTGTAATTAGTATAGAATTGTTTGATGCTCAGTATTGACTGGCCTGTTTTGTTTTGTGTGTGTGTGTCTCTGTGTGTGAACCCTAGCCAACCGCAGAAGCATGTACACGATGGAGAAAGAAGAACAAATTCCAGATGGGATGTGCATTGATATTGAGGGGAAGCTGTGGGTGGCCTGTTACAATGGAGGAAGAGTGATTCGTTTAGATCCGGAGACAGGTAAACTCACCAAAAACTTTAAAATCCCTGCAGTATCCAGAAATCGGGCTCTAGGGGCTGAAGTCCTAGTGAAATTAGAGATACTGGATTATTTTGTGGGTTTTGAGTTTTTTATTTTGGGGTGTTTTTTAGGGTGTGCTTTTGGCCACATGGCAGCAGTGCTCAACGTTTACTCCTGGCTCTGTTCTCAGGAATCGCCCCTGTCAGACTCAGGGGACCAGATGGGGTGCCAGTGATTGAACCTGGGTCAGTCAACACAATGTAAAGCAAGTGCCCTACCTGCTGTACTGTCTCTCTGTCCCTGTTGTTGGATGATTTTGGACGACCAAAGATGGTGCTGAAGAGATAGTACAGATTGTAGGGCACTTGTGTTGCACATAGCTAAACCAGGTTCGATCCTCGGCACTACAATGGTCCCCTAAGCATCACTAGGAATGATCCCATTGGACAAAACTAAGAGTAATATGCCCTTAGCATTGTTGAGTACATTCCCCCACCTCCCAAGAAAAAGAACAAAAGTATAGTCCAAAATTTCTAAAATTTCTTTCGCTTAGAGGTGTCTTTTTTTGCTCAATCAGTTCTCAGAGAAAGTAGGTTAAACATGCTTATGCTTGAGCCTTGGGTGTGGCTTAAGTGGAAAAGCTCACGCCTTAGAAGTCACAGGTCCAGATTTGATATCTGGTGACACATGCCCCTCAGCAGCACCACTGGAGGTACCCACCTCCAAATAAAAAGAAAGAAAAGTTTAAAATATGTGTTGTTCTCACAGTCTTAAGAATTTTCCTAGTAACTTTACAAGGGGGGGTCACAAAATGTTGTGCTAGTTAGAAATTTGCTAGGACTAAAACTTTGCAGTATTTGTGAGGGCCAAAGAGCACTTGCCTGAATGTGGTGCACTGAACTCAGGTTCGATCTCAGGCACCTGATATGGTTTCCCAAGTCCCACCAGGAGTGATTCCTGAGCATAGAGCCAGGGGTGGCCAAAAACAAGCAATCAAACAAAAACAAAAAGAGGGAGGCCAGAGCGTTACTTGCCTTGCATGCAGCTGACCCTCCATTTGATCCCCCCAGCACTACATGTGATCACCCAAGCACCACCAAGGATTACTCCAGAGCACAGAGTCAGGAATGGCCCCCTGAGCACCCCTGGGTGTGACCCTCCACGAAATCAAAATAACAATAATAAAACAAGGTATTTGTAAGGGCTGGAGAGATAATTCAAGTGGTAGATCATAGCTCCCAGCCATGAGTTCAACATTCAGCACCACGTGGTCCCTCAGATACTGGTAGGTATTAGCCTTGGTAGCCTCTGAGCACTAAACTGGTAGGCCTTTTCCTCTGGGGGAAAGGGGTAGCCTCTCTAAAGTGTGTAAATCAATGAAATATGTGGTGATTTAGGGAAAAGACTCCAAACTGTGAAATTGCCTGTGGATAAAACAACGTCATGCTGCTTTGGAGGGAAGGATTACTCTGAATTGTATGTGACCACAGCCAGAGATGGAATGGCCCCTGAGGGTCTTGTAAAACAACCAGAAGCTGGTGGAATTTTTAAGGTAATGTAGCCATTGTATTTTAAGAATCAAGTGGGAGAGCTTTCATTAAGTATCTGAGTGATCCATGCTTTTTCATCCTTCAAAAAACCACCCAAGGGCTGGAGAGTTAGAACTGCAGGTAGGGCACTTGCCTCGTTGTTGTGTGGCTGACCCTTGCCTTGTGTGTGACTGACATGGGTTCTATCCTAGCACTCCATATGGTCTTGTGAGCACAGCCAGGCATGATACCCAAGTGCAGAACCAAGAGTAAACCCTGAGCGCTCTCATGTGTGGCCCCAAAACAAAATCATAAATGAAAAAGAAGTCTAGGACAATCCAGTATCTTTAGCCCCTTTGTGCAAAACTCAAAGAAAAATTCTTTTTGATTCAATAGTATTTTTTGTAATTCTGTAAACCAATAGAATAATCGGCTTGAAAGACCAATATTTGGGAACATGTTTGTAAACTCAGTTGGTTATTTTTATGTCATCAAAATATTTTCAGGTTTTGGGGACCAGAGTAATAGTACAGTGGGTAGGATGTTTTCCTTGCACATGATCCACCTGGGTTTGATCCCCAGTATTCCATATGGTCCTCTGAGAACTGCCTGATGTAATTCCTGAGTGCAGAGACAGGAGTAATCCCTGAGCATCACCCGGTGTGGCCCCTCCAAAAAAGAATATTTTCAGGGTTTTAACTTTTTCCAAGAAAACAAGTGAAGACCTTTTGAGATTAAAATAAATGTAAACATTTTATTTTGTTTGGGAATCACTCCCTGCAGTGCTCTGGGCTTACTCCTGGCTCAGAGTAAGTAAGTAGCCCCTTACTCCTGGTGGGGCTCAGGATATGGTGTGCCAGGGACTGAACTCAGGTCTACTGTCTGCAAAGCAAGTACCTACCTATTGTACTATCTCTCCAGCCTAAACCTCACCTTTTTATAAAATAAAACAAGGAAGGGGGTATGATGCCACCAGCAGGTCAATCTGTACCTGTGAGGCGAGTGCATCAGCAGCCTCATGGCGCCTTCAAACTTCCAGATACCCCAAAATTGCTGCTGTGCCTTTGGCCAGACCCCAAAAACTTGGGGCAAAGTTTACCAAGAAAGTAAACGGCCAAAAGTTAGGTATGTGGGAGACACACCCACAAACCACCTCTGTCTCAGCTATGTAATTGGAGGCATGACCTCTCTGGTTCCTGATCGAACTGCTTAACAGCCATGATCCCAGAGACTCAGAAACGAATCTTGGAACCCAAAGGCTTTTGGCAGAAATGTCCTGTTCCTGCAGTAGGTTACTGGCTCTGGACCAATCCAGGTGGACCAATAGGTTTCATGCCTTGGCCTGTTCCCCTTGGCGGCCCAGTGATCACCATCCTCCAGAGGCTACTGGACAGTCAGATTTGGGCCTACAATAACGAGACAAGTGGGGCCTCACCAGATAGGGGTGGAACCAGCCCTTTCCTCCCCATCCCAGCAAGACCCCGAGTCGCTGCCTACAAGTGGCCTCTCTGGCTCCTGATCAAGCTAATTAATGGCCATGATCTCAGAGACTCAGAAACAAATCTTGAAACCTAGTGGCTTTTGGCAGAAATGCATCTGACCGCATACAAGGTGGCCGCTGCCTCAGAGCTTCTTGGAAGGCCAGGTATGAGCTGGCGTTGATGGGGCAACTGCAGTCTCATGGGAAGGGGGTGGTACCAGCTCGTCCTTCTTACCCTACCAAGGTTACAAGTTGCCCCCCACAAGCGGCTCTCCAGCACAGCATGGCTTAAGGACTTAATCCAGAACCCAGCAGCTCGCGGCAGAAAAGTGAATGGACCCTGCATTAAACTACGGCTCCATGCCTCCCTGGGAGGGAAAGGGCATTGCTCCCTTCTGCCTCCCCCACCCACCGGCAGCAAGGTGGCCGCCACCTCAGAGCTTATTGGAAAGCCAGGTATGGGCCGGTGTTGACGGGGCAACTGCAGGAAGGGGGGCGGTACCGGCTTGTCCTTCACGCCCTACCGAGATCATGAGTTGCTCCCCATGAGCAACTCTCCATCATGGCCATGGCTCCAGAGGCAAGAGGTCTTAATCCAGAGCCCGGCAGCTTGCGGCAGAAAAGTGAATGGACCATGCATTAAACTACGGCTCCATGCCTCCCCAGGAGGGAAAGAGTGTTGCTCCCTTCCGCCTTTTTCCCTCCCTGCAGCAAGGTGGCCACCGCCTCAGAGCTTATTGGAAAGCCAGGTATGAGCCGGCATTGACGGGGCAACTCATGGGAAGGGGGGCCGTACCGGCTTGTCCTTCATGCCCTGCCGAGGTCACGAGTTGCCCCCCACAAGCAGCTCTCTGGCACAGCCATAACACCAGACACACAGAAACCAATCTCATAATTATCTGGCTCTTTGCAGAAATCCAAAATCGCAAGGCTGCTATTGCGGCCATGCAAGATTATATGATTCTCATAACCAGCTATAGAAAACAAAGTATTTCACGATGCCTTTTCAGCAATTCTGATTGTTGGGGGGGGATTCTAAACAATAATGGTGAATCTTTTGTCAAAATAATGAATGTAATCAATGTAGAGAAGAGTTAAGTGGAAATCATCTGCCTCACAGGCATTGGGAGGGGTGGGAGGGGGGTATATTGGGGTTCTTGATGGTGAAAAATGAGTACTGGTGAAGGGAGATGTGTTTGATCATTGTATGACCGAGACTTAAACCTGAAAACTTAGTAACTTTTCCCACAGTGATTCAATAAATATAAGAAGATAAATAAATAAATAAAATTATAAAAAAAAAACAAGGATAGTGGATGGCTAGACATATTGTTGTGAATCATAAAAATACAATTTAATGCTACTTTGGAATGACTTTTTTTTTCTTTTTGGGTCACACCTGGCGATGCACAGTGATTACTCCTGGCTCTGCAGTCAGGAATTACTCCTGGCGGTGCTTATGGAATCATATGGGATACTGAGAATGGAACCCGGGTTGGCTGCGTGCAAGGCAAACGGCCTACCCGCTGTGCTATTGCTCCAGCCCCGGAAATGACCTTTAATCACAGTTTTTCTTTTCTTTTTTCACAGATAACTGGCCTAGGAGTCAAAGGGATCCCTCCCCAAGCCTATGCAGGTTAAATAACAGGTCTTTCTTACTGAAAAACAGAAATTCTTACTGGGAATATCTGAAAGCAATTAGAAAATTTTGGCTCTGAAATTTCAATCTAATTAAAAAGAATGAAACAATGTTATGATTACATGAGATTAGACTTTTATTTACAATTTTCAAAGGTATGGGAATTGTATAATTGTCAACCGGTCTCTTGATTCTTTGCAAATTGCTGTTCTTTATTCTGTGTCCCATTTTATTATACCTAATGCTTAAAAAACAATAAATAGAAGCAGTTCATGACATTATGTTCCTTTTTCTTCTCTTTATAATCTTTATAAGTACACTACAACTTGACCTTCATATTATTCTTTCTAATATTATTTTAGCAACTTGAAAATTTCTGGAAGATAAAAATTGAATACAATAGGAAAATCCTTGGTTTCAACTACTGTCTAATAACTGAATGAATAAAATAGCTTTATTAGGTGATAATTATCCCACACTTTATAAAGTGTGGGATATACAAAGTATATAATTTGATGGTAAGTTTAATAAATATGTATGTGGGGGCTGGAGAGATAGCAGAGCTGGTAGGGCGTTTGCCTTGCACGCGGCCAACCCGGGTTCTATTCCCAGCATCCCATATGGTCCCCTGAGCACTGCCAGGAGTAACTCCTGAGTGCAGAGCCAGGAGTAACCACTGTGCATCGCCAGGTGTGACCCAAAAAGCAAAAAAAAATTTAAAAATAAATAAATAAATATGTATGTGTATAAAGGCCCCCCCTTTAAAGGCCCTCCCGTTGATCATCGATTTGCTCGAGCGGGCCCAGTAATGTCTCCATTGGAGACTTTGTTGTTACTGTGTCTGGCATATCGGATACTCTCGGTAGCTTGCTGGGCTCTCCGAGAGGGGCAGAGGAATCGAACTCGGGTCGGCCATGTTGGCCGCTTGTAAGGCGAACACCCTACCCGCTGTGCTATCGCTCCAGCCCATGTATGTGTATATACATATATATTAATGAAGTGAATGCCATAAACAAATGAATAATTTTCCCTATGCTCTTTTGTAAACCCTTACTTTATTTTTGAGGGGATTTTTTTTGCTTTTTGGGTCATGTCCAGTAATGTTCAGGGGTTACTCCTGGCTCTGCACTCAAGAACTACTCATGATGGTGCTCAGGGCGCCATATGGGATGCTGGGGATCGAACCTGGCTTAGCCGAGTGCAAGGCAAACACCCTATCCACTGTACTGTCACTCTAAACCTTTGACCCCTAAACCTTTACTTTAGTCTCTTTGTATAATTGTCCTCCTTCCCAGGAAATCATTGGTCTGCTCTCTAGCACTACAAATTAGTCTTAAATTGTGGAATGCATTTTCTGTAGATAAGTGATTTACCTGATAATTCGATTGCCACTCAGTGTCTCTTTTGCAAACCACAGCACTCAAAAGGAGAGAGATAACAAAAGGGAATGCCCTGCCACAGAGGTAGGGTGGGATGGGGGGAAGGGGAGTGGGAGGGACACTGGGAATGGTGGTGGTGGAGAATGGGCACTGGTGGAGGGATGGGTATTCGATCGTTGTATAACTGAAACCCAAGCACAAAATTTTGTAAGTCTACAACTGTACTTCATGGTGTTTCACTAATAAAAATTTAAGAAAAAAAAATAACAAAATGTTCACTGAAGTTAGAAAAGCAATTCATGAACAGAATGAGTATTTCAATTGAGATAAAAAATATATAAGCACCTACAGAAATCAAAGCTGAAGAAATAACAGCTAAACTGGAAAATTCAAGTGAGGGACTCAACAACAGATGACATCATTTGAAAGGAAAACAGGTCAGTGAAAATCATTCCATTAGGGGAGCAAAAAGACAAAAGATTATGAAACTTTCAAGATACATCATGCAGAACACTATATATAATATTTAAGTTGCATAAAGAGAAGAGATAAAAAGATGGAAAACTTAAATTCAAAGAAATAGAGGCTGGAAACTACTTTAACCCAAGGAATGAAATACATTACCAGATCCAGGAAGCCCAAGAACAGTAAAGGTCTATGATGAATCAATATATGTCAGAAAATTAGCTCAAGGAAAAGGATACATTCCTAGAAACATACATCTTTCCCAGACTACATCAAGAAATAGAAACAGAATAATAGCATACATGGAGGTAGGACTGAGAGATTGTACAGGAGGGAAGGTGTTTGTCTTGTTTATAGCCAACCCTGGTTTGAATCCCTGGGACCACATGGTCCCCTAGCAGTGCCAGGAGTAGTCTCTGAGAATGTGGCATTTATCCCTGGGATATAATGTTGGTTTAATATATGCCAATCAATTCTACACCACATTAACAGACTGAAAGTTTAGAGTAGTCTTCTTAATAGATGTAGAAAAAGCCCTCAACAAAGTCCAATATCCAGTTATGTTACAAACTCTCAATCAAATTGGTATAGAAGAATTTAACCACAGTAAAATTCAGTCATGAAACTCCACAGCTAACAAAAAATGAAAGAAACTGAAATTTGAGAACTGTTTTTACAGAACTTAAGGAGGGGAGAGTGGGGAGTGAATGGAACGGGGTTGGGGGGACACTTTGGTGAAAGGTGTGGTTTTGGAATTTTTTATGAATGAAACCCTACGAGTAACAGTATGGTCCACCACAGTGCTTCAACTGAAAAAAGGACCAACACAAGGTAAGATACCCATTCATGCCATCTCTGATCAATATTGTGCTAGGAGCTCTGGAAAATGTGATCAGAAAAAGAAAATAAAAGGCATCCAAATTAGAAAGAAAATTATGACATGATCCTATATTTAGAATACCCTAAACACACAAAAAACCTGTTAGAACTGATAAGTGAGGGGCTGGAGAGATAGTATAGCTGGTTGAGGGCTTGCCTTCATGAAGCTGACCCAGGTTCAATTCTTAGTATCCAATAGGTTTCCTCAACCTGCCAGAAACAATTCCTGAGTGCAGAGCCAGGAGTTGCCCTGAGCATCGCCAGTAAGCCCCTCTACCTCCAAAAAAGAATTGATAAATGATTCAGTATTGTTGCAGGATACAAAGTAAACACAAAAATAAGTAGTGTGGAACAGGATGCAGATTGGCAGTAGAGCACTTTTCTTGCAGGTGAGAGGCTCTGGATTCAATCCCCAGCACCACACACACACAAAGTCAGTAGTATTTCTTTACACTAGCAATGATTCATCTAAAACGGAAGTCAAGAGAACAATTACATTTATAATAAATGCAAGAAAAATAAAATACCTAGGAATAAAATTAACAAAGAAGGTTAAGGTCTTTACACTGAAATCTCTAATATTGATGAAATAAATTGAAGATGACAAACAGCAAGCTATCCCATGTTCATAGATTTGAAGAATTATTGTAACAGATTTAATGCAAATTTTCTACATTTGGGGCCAGAGACATAATATAGCAGGTAAGGCATGTGCGTTGCATGTAGCCGACCCAGGTTTGATTCCCAACATCCCATATGGTCCCCTGAGCACCGCCAGGAGTGATTTCTGTATGCAGAGCCAGGAATAATCCGAGTATTTCTAGGTATGATTGCCAGCCCCCCAATTTCTAAAATTCATGGGCCCAAAGAGGGTACAGGGGGTAAGGTGCTTGTCTTACAAGCAGCCAATGTGAGTTTGATCCCTGGCACCACATCCTGAGCAAAGAAGTAGGAGGAAGACCTAAGTACAGAACCAGAAATAAGCCCTAAACTCAACTAAACTCAACTAAACTCAACTAAACTCAACCCCAAAACCAAAAAAAAGAAAAATCTAAAATGCACATGGAATCCAAATAGCCCAAATAATCTTTGGTGAGGGGTACCCCTGTCCATAGGCTCCGTGCTCAGTTATCATTCCTAGAAGGGCTCAGGGGACCATATATAGTGCCAGAGAACAAACCCAGCTTAGCCATGTGCAAGGCAAGTGCCCTACCCACTGTACTATCTCTCCATCCACAAGCCAAAGCAATCTTGAGAAAAACACTGTGAAGCACCAGGCTTCCAGATTTAAAATTATATTGCAAAGCTATAAGTAGTCAAAATAATATAGTACTGACATCAAAACAAACAGATGAATGGAATAGAAAGTCCATATGTTTTTCAAGCCCATATGTCTTTCTTGAGCGTGTATTCTTCTCTTTCTCTCCCCTCACATTTTTCTAAGTTAATTTCTTTCAATAAAAACTAAACCCCAACTATGAATAACTTTAAATCATGGCACTTTAATAATTTTTAAAGACCCATATTGCTTCACAGAAGAAGTTTAAAAAAGGAAAGACCATAAATAAATCCAGGGATGCGCAATAGGCACAAGGATGCCAAAAGTGTACCATTTCTTTCCAATAAAGGTTGCTGAGAAAATTGGATACCTACTTGTAAAAAAATTAAATTGGCCCTTTTACCATACACAAAACAAAAAATAAACTCAAAATTAATTGCAGACATAAGGCAGTAAAATTCTTAGACGAGATTTAGCCGAAGAGAAGGACTACATGGAGGGCGGGATCCACAGATCCCGAAGGAAAAAAAAAAAAACAGGTTCCAAAAAGAGCCGAGATCATCGGGAAGTCCCAGATGGGGTAGGTACCGCATCCCGCCTCCCCCAGATGGAACCCCGGTGACCAGAAACCTCTACAAGCACAGCTCGAGTATGCGGGAACTAGGACTTTTCCTCAAAAATGCCGGGACTACACCTCCCAGGTAACCTCAGATTCCGGAAGTCACGCCCACAGCCCGCCCCCCAGCGCCATCTTGACAGCATTTAGCCGAAGAGAAGGACTACTTGGAGGGCGGGATCCACAGATCCCGAAGGGAAAAAAAAAAAAACAGGTTCCAAAAAGAGCCGAGATCATCGGGAAGTCCCAGATGGGGTAGGTACCGCATCCCGCCTCCCCCAGATGGAACCCCGGTGACCAGAAACCTCTACAAGCACAGCTCGAGTATGCGGGAACTAGGACTTTTCCTCAAAACCGCGCAGCCGCTTATGCGGCCGCGCAACATCTCTCTATATACAAAGTGTTCCATGGGAAGTAAACCACCTAACGTTTCTCTCTGAAAATCATAGTTAAGCTTTGAGCATGGCCACAGCCCCAGAAACACAAGTACTTAATGCATAACCCAGCAGCTTGGAGCAGAAAAGTGAACGGGTTATGTGTTAACCCAGGCCATCAAGTCTGCCAGAGGGGAAAGGGTGTTGGTCCCTTCCGCCCTCCTCCCTCTGGAAAGAAGGGTGGCGGCCACATGGGAGCCTTGTGGACAGCAGGTATGGGCCGG